TTGTAAGAGACACCTCATCCCGGTGCAAGGCGCTAGATAGGTTGAAGGTTGAAGGTTAGCGTTCTCCATGTTTAAGGCTACATATCCCATACGTTCGACCAGTGCGGGACGTTCTCTAGGTTGAAGGTGGCATATATCATACGTTCGACCGTCACGAGGCGTTCTCAAGGTTGAAGGCGACATAACCCATACGTTCGACCGTTGGGGGACATTATCTAGGTTGAAAGCGACATATCTCATACGTTTGACCGTTGCAGAGCATTCTCTAGGTTGAAGGCGACATATCCCATACATTTAATTGGTGCGTTACATTCTTAATGTTGAAGGAGGCATATCCCACAAGTGCGGCCGTTGCGGGGTACAAATGTATTATCTAGGTTGAAGGCGACATACTCCAATCGTTTGACCGGTGCGGGGTATTCTCAAGGTTGAAGGTGACGTATCTAATATTGCGGGGCATTCTCTTTGTTGAAGGCGACATACCCCAATCGTTTCCCCGGTGCGGTGCATTCTCTAGATTGAAAACAAACTATCCCATACGTTAGACCATTTTATGGGGCGTTCTCTATGTTGAAGGCGACATATTCTAATCGTTTGACCGGTGCGGGCATTCTCTTGGTTTAAGGCGACATATCCCATACGTTCGAACGATACGAGGCGTTCTCTACGTTGACGGTTGTATATACCATACGTTCGACCGTTGAGGTTGTGATTTAGGTCGATATGACCGTTGCGGAACATCCTGTTGTTTGTATATGATTTGTCCTGCACTTGCAAAAGACACCTGTTACCGCCTTTGTGTCACATAAGATGAGTAAATCCCTTAAACCTGAAATGGCGTATGGTATGCATGTACTTCCGATTGAAAGAAATACGAAACTGTTCACGCGCGACCAGCGCTTGGAACTCTTATATGTAAACAATATAATGTCTTGTTGTCGAGACAATCGCTAGATCTTACGAGGATATGACACCTCGAATGTCAGTCATGAACAACGCACAGGTCGTAATGTAGGTCGTAGGAGGAGATGACATATTTCGTATGCGCCGATTGGCGCAAAGGCGCTCCCTAGGTTTTAGTTAGGTTACACATCTCGCACGCCTGCCCAGTACAAGATATTAACAGTGTTGTGCAAGTTGGCATATCGACTGCGTTTGACAGGCGCGGGGCGCTTTCTAGGTTGGAGGTGGAATGTGTGTTCTGACGGACATATCGCGAACGCCCGATCAATTCATCCCTCAATAATTCATACATTCATACAAAGCTATTTCAAAAGTCGAGTATTCCGATTCCGAAACTGTCGCTCGGCCCCACACAATCGCACTTCCTTTCTTTCTATAAATATTTTAGGTGAGGAAATCAATTACGTGTACAATGCTAGAAATCAGTGGTCATGACTAATTGTGTTAAAAAGAACGAGTGATAGGTCATCTCACAGTACATATAGCTCATCTCACAGTACATATAGATCATCTAACAGTACATATAGCTCAGCTCATAGTACATATATATCATCTCACAGTACAAATAGATCACCTCACAGTACATATTGATCATCTCACAGTACATATAGATCATCTAACAGTACATATAGCTCAGCTCATAGTACATATATATCATCTCACAGTACCAATAGATCACCTCACAGTACATATTTATCATCTCATAGTACATATTTATCATCTCACAGTACATATAGCTCAGCTAATAGTACATATAGCTCAGCTCATAGTACATATAGATCATCTAACAGTACATTTAGATCATCTCACAGTACAAATAGATCACCTCACAGTACAAATAGATCATCTAACAGTACATATAGATAATCTCACAGTACAAATAGATCACCTTACAGTATATATTGATCATCTCACAGTACATATAGATCATCTAACAGTACATATATATCATCTAAAAGTACATAAAGCTCAGCTCATAGTACATATAGATCGTCTCACAGTACAAATAGATCACCTCACAGTACATATTTATCATCTCACAGTACATATTTATCATATCACAGTACATATAGATCATATCACAGTACATATAGATCATATCACAGTACATATTCATCATCTCACAGTACATATAGATCATATTACAGTACATATAGCTCAGCTCATAGTACATATTGCTCAGCTCAAAGCACATATAGATCACCTAACAGTACATATAGATCATCTCACAGTACATATTTATCATCTCACAGTACATATAGCTCAGCTCATAGTACATACAGATCATCTAACAGTACATATAGATCACCTCACAGTACATACAGATCATCTCACAGTACATACAGATCATCTAACAGTACATATAGATCACCTCACAGTACATATAGATCAATTAACAGTACACATAGCACATCTCACAGTACATGTAGATCATACAAATGTATTACAGTACATGTAGATCATATTACAGTACATATAGATAATATCACAGTACATATAATTGCTTGTCAAATATGAATTTCAATAAGATTAAAATAATATAAATTCCGTTATCTTGCTTTTCATTTAGAGTTATAATTAGATCAAACGAAAGTGATAACATTTGTCAGCCAGCCATGCTATCGTTTATTTCTACAGCTGTCAAACTTGTCGCTGCAGCAATTCAAGCTATTTGATATGCATCTATGTATTTATATAACAAAGCCGAGAATGCTATCTGCCGTCTGTTTTAAGCGTTTTCTGAACCATGATGACGGCCTGGATTTCTGTATGATAAAACAAGGTTACGTACAAAAGCCCTGGCGGTGACTTGTAGCATACCAGAGACCAGAACTAGATACAATGTAAGCCTGGGTTGACAGTTACAGTCATTGAGATTGACAAAACTCGCTGTCCAGGTCTCATGGCTGCGATAAAAGTACTTTTGGACTATAACAGTTTTTCTCCTTTTCTTGTTAAGGTAATAGGATTGTGTCACCATTTCTCAGTAGAATTTCTTCACATTTTGTAGTTATATTGCTTTAAAGTAAAGAAAATTTTCTGCCGCAAAAAAAATTTAGGTTGTCAGAATTTTAAGGATTTTAAATGGAAATGTATGTAGAAAGGAGTGAATTTTGAAACAAAAAATGAAAGACACAATATTTTTACAAAATAATGTCAATAAAAATGATACTGACATATAGTAGTATTGCATTAATGTATATCAATTTAATAAATGCTGAAATTGTGTCAAATTAATTCTCTATACACGATATAAAAATTGACATTTTATAATAAAACCATATACACATAGTAATTGCAGGTAATAGTTATCGTTCTTGAAAAACTTCACAGTAGTGAAATAGGTAGCCGGTTTCCTGAAGTACAGAAAAATGGACACATGTGACTCATTGATAATAAAAAAACTAAATTAATTGTTTGTTTGTTTGTTTGATTTTGTTTAACGTCCTATTAACAGCTAAGGTCATTTAAGGACGGCCTCCCCTGTGTGCAAGATGCATGCGTGTAGTGTATGTGTGTGTATTTTGGGAGGCTGCGATATGTTCGTGTTTGTCTTCTTGTAATAGCGCGGAACTGATGCCGACTTTATAGTGCTACCTCACTGAAACATACTGCCGAAGACACCCAGCAGGACGCCCCACCCGGTCACATTATACTGACAACGGGCGAACCAGTCGTCCCACTCCTTATTTGCTGAGCGTTAAGCAGGAGTAGAAACTACCATTTTTAAAGACTTTGGTATGTCTCGGCCAGGGGACAGAACCCAAAGCCTTCCTCACAGGGGCGAACGCTCAACAAATGGCCAAAAGTGAGGCATTGTCAAGGGAGACATTAGGAAAAAGAAAGTTATTTAGAAAGGAGAGAAGAGATAAGGTCCCAAATTTAGTCGCCTCTTACGATCATGCAATTGGGGGCAGCAGGTACAATTCTTACGCCCTACCTGCAGGGCAGACTAAATTAATGCCTGGATTGCTTTGAAATACTTTAATATTGAGAAAACACACTGTTCTGTCAATAATAAACATACAATATTCATCAGTTTAATATTTAATATTAGAATTTGCGGAAATTGTGATACTGTCTCCCTACATTGGATTTTCAACTAGGGATGTACTTCCTGTTTCCGTTTATCGATACACTCCAATGACCTTAAATGATATCTTGTCCAATTTCGTTTTTAGCATGGTATTGGACAGGAAAGTCTGAATCAAGTCTTTGTGTCCACGACAAAATATGACAAAACTGAAATAGATATCGACACTTTTACTAAAACTGAAATCTATCACAAAGAAATGGTAGTAGTCTATATGTACTGTGAGATGATATACCACGAAAACATGACTGCATTATGGCGGATATAAACCAAATGCATCATGGGTATGCGCAACTTTAATTGCACGGACGCTTTTTACAAGTGTGGTTCATCAAGGTCACTGACAGCCTATCGAATTACACAACTCTGGGCTACAGTGTAAGATACTAGAGATATAAAAACGCGTACTACCTTGTCTTTTTGATGAAATCAAAAGAGTATTAGATGTTTTAATAGATATATATTAAGATTAAAATTGAATATTCGTGTAGTCTATACTGATGGAAAATGTCCTCGCTCAATTTATTAATGAATCGCCAAAAGAGAAATTAAACATTTTAGGAACGATCCATGAGCTGTGTGCTGATACCATACCAGTAATATCGCCCGTCAGATATCACAGTACCTCCTTACATAAGGCGTGCGCGATTGCTTCGAGATATCAATCTTTAATTAATTTCTATTTCAGACTTGGAAAGACGTCAATAATTATTTCAGGCACAGTATAGTCGTCGATATCTATTTTAGGTACAACCTATTCGTTTACTTTTGGTATGTATGTGTATTTATGGGTACCTATTTTAAATGCAGCAAACAAGTAAATACCTGTTTTCGTTTTTGTATTGATGCCATGAGCGGTACTTTTTGTATTGATGCCATGAGCGGTATTTTCTGTATTGATGCCATACGCGGTACTTTCTGTATTGATGCCATGAGTGGTATTTTATGTATTGATGCCATGGGCGGTACTTTCTGTATTTATGCCATGAGCGGTACTTTCTGAATTGATGCCATGAGCGGTACTTTCTGTATTGATGTCAGGAGCGGTACTTTCTGTATTGATGTCAGGAGTGGTACTTTCTGTATTGATACCAGGAGTGGTACTTTCTGTTTTGATGCCAGGAGCGGTACTTTCTGTATTGATGCCAGGAGCGGTATTTTCTCTATTGATGCCAGGAGTTGTATTTTCTGTATTGATGCCAGGAGGGGTATTTTCTCTATTGATGCCATGGGCGGTACTTTCTGTATTTATGCCATGAGCTGTACTTTCTGAATTGATGCCATGAGCTGTACTTTCTGTATTGATGCAAGGAGCTGTTCTTTCTGTATTGATGCAAGGAGCGGTCCTTTCTGTATTGATGCAAGGAGCGGTACTTTTTGTATTAATGCGAGGAGTGGTACTTTCTGTATTGATGCCATGGGCAGTACTTTCTGTATTGATGCCAGGAGCGGGACTTTCTGTATTGATGCCAGGAGCGGTACTTTCTGTATTGTTGCCATGGGCAGTACTTTCTGTATTGATGCCAGGAGTGGAATTTTCTCTATTGATGCCAGGAGTGGTATTTTCTGTATTGATGCCATGGGCGGTACTTTCTGTATTTATGCCATGAGCTGTACTTTCTGAATTGATGCCATGAGCTGTACTTTCTGTATTGATGCAAGGAGCGGTACTTTCTGTATTGATGCCAGGAGTGGTATTTTCTCTATTGATGCCATAGGAGGTACTTTCTGTATTTATGCCATGAGCGGTACTTTCTGAATTGATGCCATGAGCGGTACTTTCTGTATTGATGCAAGGAGCGGTACTTTCTGTATTGATGCAAGGAGCGGTACTTTTTGTATTAATGCCAGGAGTGGTACTTTCTGTATTGATGCCATGAGCGGTACTTTCTGAATTGATGTCAGGAGCGGTACTTTCTGTATTGATGTCAGGTGCGGTACTTTCTGTATTGATACCAAGAGTGGTATTTTCTGTATTGATACCATGGGCGGTACTTTCTGTATTGATGCCAAGAGCGGTACTTTCCGAATTGATGCCATGAGCGGTACTTTCTGTATTGATGCCATGAGCGGTACATTCTGAATTGATGTCAGGAGCGGTACTTTCTGTATTGATACAAGGAGTGGTACTTTCTGTTTTGATGGCAGGAGCGGTACTTTCTGTATTGATGCCAGGAGCGGTACTTTCTGTATTGATGCCATGGGCGGTACTTTCTGTATTGATGCCAGGAGTGGTACTTTCTGTTTTGATGGCAGGAGCGGTACTTTCTGTATTGATGCCAGGAGCGGTACTTTTTGTATTGATGCCATGAGCGGTATTTTCTGTATTGATGCCATGAGCGGTACATTCTGAATTGATGTCAGGAGCGGTACTTTCTGTATTGATGTCAGGAGCGGTACTTTCTGTATTGATACAAGGAGTGGTACTTTCTGTTTTGATGGCAGGAGCGGTACTTTCTGTATTGATGCCAGGAGCGGTACTTTCTGTATTGATACAAGGAGGGGTACTTTCTGTTTTGATGGCAGGAGCGGTACTTTCTGTATTGATGTCAGGAGCGGTTCTTTCTGTATTGATACAAGGAGTGGTACTTTCTGTATTGATGGCAGGAGCGGTACTTTCTGTATTGATGCCAGGAGAGGTACTTTCTGAATTGATGCCATGAGCGGTCCTTTCTGAATTGATGTCAGGAGCGCTACTTTCTGTATTGATGTCAGGTGCGGTACTTTCTGTATTGATACCAAGAGTGGTATTTTCTGTATTGATACCATGGGCGGTACTTTCTGTATTGATGCCAGGATCGGTACTTTTTGTATTGATGCCATGAGCGGTATTTTCTGTATTGATGCCATGAGCGGTACTTTCCGAATTGATGCCATGAGCGGTACTTTCTGAATTGATGCCAGGAGCGGTTCTTTCTATATTGATGCCAGGAGCGGTACTTTCTGAATTGATGCCATGAGCGGTACTTTCTGTATTGATGCCATGGGCGGTACTTTCTGTATTGATGCCAGGAGTGGTACTTTCTGAATTGATGCCATGAGCGGTACTTTCTGAATTGATGTCAGGAGCGCTACTTTCTGTATTGATGTCAGGTGCGGTACTTTCTGTATTGATACGAAGAGTGGTATTTTCTGTATTGATACCATGGGCGGTACTTTCTGTATTGATGCCATGAGCGGTACTTTCCGAATTGATGCCATGAGCGGTACTTTCTGTATTGATGTCAGGAGCGGTACTTTCTGTGTTGATGTCAGGAGTGGTACTTTCTGTATTGATGCCAGGAGCGGTACTTTCTGTATTGATGCCATGAGCGGTACTTTCTGTATCTATGCCATGAGCGGTACTTTCTGAATTGATGCCAGGAGCGGTTCTTTCTATATTGATGCCAGGAGCGGTACTTTCTGTATTGATGCCAGGAGCGGTACTTTCTGTATTGATGCCATGAGCGGTACTTTCTGTATCTATGCCATGAGCGGTACTTTCTGAATTGATGCCAGGAGCGGTTCTTTCTATATTGATGCCAGGAGCGGTACTTTCTGTATTGATGCCAGGAGCGGTACTTTCTGTATTGATGCCAGGAGCGGTACTTTCTGTATTGATGCCAGGAGTGGTACTTTCTGTATTGATGCCATGAGCGGTACTTTCTGAATTGATGTCAGGAGCGGTACTTTCTGTATTGATGTCAGGAGCGGTGCTTTCTGTATTGATACCAGGAGTGGAACTTTCTGTATTGATGCCATCGGCGGTACTTTCTGTATTGATGCCATGAACGGTACTTTTTGTATTGATGCCAGGAGTGGTACTTTCTGTATTGATGCCATGAGCGGTACTTTCTGTTTTGATGCCAAGAGTGGTATTTTCTGTATTGATGCCATGGGCGGTACTTTCTGTATTGATGCGATGAGCGGTACTTTCTGATTTGATGCCATGAGCGGTACTTTCTGTATTGATGGCAGGAGCGGTACTTTCTGTATTGATGTCAGGAGTGGTACTTTCTGTATTGATGCCAGGAGCGGTACTTTCTGTATTGATGCCAGGAGCGGTACTTTTTGTATTGATGTCATGAGTGGTACTTTCTGTATTGATGCCATGAGTGGTACTTTCTGTATTGATGCCAGGAGTGGTACTTTCTGTATTGATGCCATGAGCGGTACTTTCTGTATAGATGCCAAAAGCGGTTCTTTTTGAAATTGTGCTATAGACATCGGTTCCCGTTTTCAGTCAAGAGTCGTCAGTACGCATTTAAAGCTCAGCGTTTGTGTCAGTACCGATTTGTTTTAAATTCGTACATTTAAGCTTTAATAAAGACACTGTTATACGTAAAATATCATTTTAGTGCAGAAGCTGATACTTTTCGGTTTCCTGGTATGATATTGAAACAGATATTGGTATTAATCATGAAAACCTACTTCATATCTCAACCTGGCCATGGTTATAACATTATAGATTCATCGTAGATGAGTGTACAAAGTTTCACTAAAGTGTTGATACCTATTTCAATTTTAGTAAAACTGTCCAAACTTATTTCAGTTTTAATAAAAGTGTCGATACCTATTTAAGTTTTAGTAAAAACGTGTTAATCCAAAAACAAACCTGTAGTACATGGAGAAAATTCGCGTTGTCGGGCAGGTGAACCCGTACCTTTTCACCGCGATCGGGTGAATCGAATCTCGGCCATCTTGGTGAAAGGTGAGTACGCTATCAACTACGCCGCCCGACCGCTAGCTTTAGTTTAGATGTTTATAATCGATTTCGGTTAAAGTTGGGATATTGAAACCGAAGTAACTACAATATTACCAAATTCAAATTTATATTTCAATCAATGGAATTAATTTCACTCTTCTTTTAACTTTAAAAGTAACACAAAAAAACGAACTCATGATTAGTCTTTGTGTAATTAGCCAGCCTGAACTAAGGGTTTAATTTCCCTTGTCGGTTTGTGTACATACATGCTCTTATATGTTTACCGGTTTGACATTGAATAACATCTGTCGCAACCACATGTCACCCGATCCACGTTGTGAAGATACGTCTTAGTTTACATGCAATATCCTGCAATATCTATAATATATATATATATTTAACCAGTACCGCGTTTAAACATTTAAAAAAATGACAGGGCAAAATTCTGTTTATATTGAAGTAGAAAATCCTTCAGATTTGAAATTTAGACCTATTGTCGGTGGACCCAACATGAGTAGCACACAACGTCCGAGTCATTTTATGGATATTGTATTGAAACCACTTTGTAAGTCCGTCAAAAGTACCATTAGGGACGATTTTGATTTTCTTCAACATCTTCCAAAGCATGTACAACCTGGTTCTAAACTAGTTACTTTTGACGTTGTTAGTTTATATACAAATATTCCCCATGATCTGGGATTAGAAGCAATATAGTATTGGCTAAGGAAACATCCAAATAAAATAGATTCGCGTTTTAGCCATGATTTCATTATTGAATCTATGCGCATTATACTTGAAAGAAATCCTTTTTGTTTCAATGATGTATTTTATCATCAAAAAAAGGGTACTGCGATGGGTACCAAAGTGGCCCCTACAGATGCAACCCTGGTATTAGGGTTTCTAGAGGAAACTTTATACAATGTTATTGAAACGAAGCATGGTCGCGAGATCCGTGAATTTATTGAAAAAAACTTTCTACGTTTTCTAGATGATTGTTTCATCATATGGCTAGCTGACTTGTGTGAAGATGAGTTATTTAGTGGTCTTAATTCTTTGAACCCTTTTATTCGTTATACTATGGAAGTGAGAGAGTCTTCATTACCATTTTTTGATGTGCTTGTCATTTTAAAAGACAATATTGTTTCTACTGATTTATATACAAAACCTACAGATTCTCATAATTATTTCAATTTTTATTCAAACCATTCAAAACACGTTAAAGTAAATATTCCTTTCAATTTAGCATCGCGTATCGTAACTATAGTGAGTAATAAGATTACAATTAAGAAAAGGCTTGATGAACTTACTAAATTTTTGAAATATCAAGGATATCCTGAAAGTATTGTTGAAAAAGGTAAAAGTATGGCAATTGAAAAGGCACCTTTTACAGCCCGCACTCGTGTTGTAGATAATATGCCTATAATGACATTTGTTTCAACTTTCAACCCTCGTAGTTTCAACATATTTCCGGTAATCCGGAACAGATGTGAAGATTTGAAACGAGGTACATGTACATGTAGCGAACGTATGAAAAAAGTCTTGGATCGTTGTGCTTTAATAAACAGCAAAAGACAACCAAAAAAATCTTAAACGTATTCTAACTAGATCAAGGTTTGAAAGTAATCATCTTAATGCATGTGTATCAAAAGTAATACAGCTCGTTGTGGTACTTGTAACCTAATTATAGAAGGAAGTGATGGTAAGTTCAAAAATGGTTTTAGCTTTAAGGTGAAAAAGCATATGAATTGTAAGTCTAGTAATGTAATTTACGCAATGATTTGTAACAATTGTTCTGAATTTTATAATGTTCTAACTTCATGTTACGTTTAAGGTAGAGAGTACTACACAAGTTTCGATCAATGTGTTTTATCATTTTATTTTTGTCTACTGAAGAGCTACGTTTGTAAAGTAGTCACATCGGTAGTGTGTCGGATCAGTAATATCATGGTCCTGGGTTCGCCCCACACAGGTAGTTTTTTTATTTTTTATTTTTACTCATTTTTTATTATTATTTCTTTTGTACGTAATAGTATACCTAGTATATCTTAATCCTAAACAAATAGTACTCTTTGCCTTAAGACTATAATTAATATATTTATATTGCTGTGATATCGTTATGGCGGGTACGTATATGGCGGACGTCTTTGTAGCGAACTATTATGTGACGTCATAGTTTATGACGTCAATACTTCAAATAAACAGTCTGAAGAATCTCCTAGGAGAGATGAAAGTACTAAAGACTCGTTGTTTAGAATTTTTCTTTATACAATATATATATATGTATATACCATGCGTGGTATGTGTTCCATCTTTTTTATAGTCATACCGTACAACAAGTGCGTAGTTATCTCTCATTCCGTGTTAATCAATATTCTCTCCACGATTAAAATCATCCCGTGTTCTCTACATTGATCGTCAGTAAATTAAATTCAATGGAATCTTTTTGTGTGAGTTATTTATATTATTCATAATATCGAAAATAAATGTGATCGAAATTATGCGCGAATTGGAGGTCAGATGTGTGGAGATATGCTGATAGGCTGTCCGCAATACCGGGAACTCATATGATAGGCTGTCCGCAATACCGGGAACTCACATGATAGGCTGTCAGCAATACCGGGAACTCACATGATAGGCTGTCCGTAATACTGGGAACTAACATGATAGGCTGTCCGCAATACCGGGAACTCACATGATAAGCTGTCAGCAATACCGGGAACTCTCATGATAGGCTGTCCGCAATACCGGGAACTCACATGATAGGCTGTCCGCAAAAGCACACTGTCTTACACTCCCTCTTCATAAAACATAAACTATAAAAACTCCTTAATATATAGCACACTAAACAAAACATATCTAGCATTCACTCTAGATGTATTACACTATACAAAATATATCTGGAACTCCCTTTAGATAAAACACACTATAAAAAACATATCTGACTCTTCCTTTAGATATAGCACGCTATACAAAACATACCTGGCCATCCCTCTAGATATACCAAGCTATACCAAAACATGTTTGGCGCTCTTTAGAGATATACCAAGCTATACAAAACATATCTGACTCTTCTCCTAGATATTCCAAGCTATACTAAACATATATGGCACTTGATTTAGATATAGCTCACTATATAAAACTTATATGACACTAACTCCAGATATATCACAATATACCAAAAAACGTATGCACGCAGTCCCTGTAGATTTACAACGCTTTACAAAACATATATTGCACTCTTTTAGATATAGCACACTATACAAAACATATCTTAAACTAACCTTAGATATATCACACAATAGAAACATATCTGACACCCCCTCTAGAT